CACTGACATCAACACAGCATGCAGCAAGCATTGGGAGCACTGTTTCATTTTTGGAGCTCTCCTGGACTGTTCAACTGCTACTATTACAATACAGACTGCGGAAATATTTCTTATTTCTTCAAAGCAGAAGTTGGCTCAAAGAAAGCCTCAGGGGCAAGGCTTTATCCTCACTTATCTCAAGTAGCAAGTAGGAATTCCCAAAGAACAGGGCTGCTTCAGCAGAATGCTCCCATATAAATTAGAGAGTGCACACAGGCTATGCTCTCTGCATCAAGGTGCAACCTTTCTAGCTTGCTTCACCCAGGAATACCAGGATGTGTTGCACATATATTATGTGTTAGTAGTACTTTCTTGAAGGAAGCCCTGTATCTATATCTATGTATACAAATCATGGCTCTCACAGTCAATAAAATAGCTCCATAGCAGAGGTCAGATGTAATAGTTGCTTAAGAAATATTCATCTAGGTTTTACTATAAAGTAAAATTTCTACCTTAATTTTATCTTAGGCACTGGGTATGATATATATATATACTCATACTTGAGATTTCAAGACTAAACTTTTGAATATAATTCAAAAATGTAAGTAAAATTAACCAGAAGAGCTGCTTGTTAACAGAAAAAATTTTGCACTAGAATTTTGAATGTTAAATTGCCTTTTATAGGGAAAAAATCCACCATGAAGTATTAACTAATAAAACGTTATGCCTGGCCAGTGTGGCTAAATGGTCAACCTATGAACCAGGAGGTCACGGTTCAATTCCTGGTCAGGGTATATGCCCTGGTTGCTGGATCGATCCTATGTGGGGAGCGTGCAGGAGGCAATCTATCAATGATCCTCTCTCTACATTGATGTTTCTATATCTCTCTCCCTCTCCCTTCCTCTCTGAAATCAATAAAACAAAATAAAAAACGCACACACAAAAACTTTATAGTCGTTAAGAAGATGGCTCTTTTGGGGACAATGGTGGTCAGCAACTTCTATGATACTGAAAAATATCCCAAGGGAGAGAGAAATACTCATATACAGCATAAGACAATAAAACTACATTTAGAATCAGCTATTTCATGGACATGAATAGTGATAGGAAACATAAGGTATTAATATTGATGGGTGACAATTATTCTCAGAAGAAGCAAAAAATATATTTGAAAGTAAGATTATTGTGTATGCCTATATATGCCTTAATAGGATCTCTGACCCTCAAAAATGTAAAGATCTTTGAAGGTCCTGGGCTATACATTTAGGAACATTCTTTTTCTTTCCCTTCTGTTTCCTCCCGTTGTCAGTCTCTCCCCTCCTTAGCACCCCACTTCCCCTCTTCCCAGCCTCAAATGTATGTTAACTGCATACTCTATGCCAGACACTGTGCTATGCAGTGGGGTTCTTGCCTCCAAACCTTCCAGTCTTACTTTTGTTACTTTCTTCTCTTCTTTTACTCATAGTTCCCCTGACTCTTTGCTGGGACACAGGAAATAGGTGAAACGTTACCTAGCCTGAAATTACATTAGTTGTTGCAAATGTCATGTGTCCACCGATCAATGCAGATAAAGTAATTTGAGGATTTCATTTCTAAGACTTTGTGGGATCCATGGGCTTTGGACCAGACATTGAAGGATGGGAGGGATTGAGAACGCAGTGGCAACGTGTGTAAGGTGCAGGAGTGACGAGAGCAAACACAAGGCGGACTTCGTGAGGGCAGTGAACAGATCAGCCTTCCAGCGCAGAAAACTCCTATTTAGGAATCAGCAATAATGCAGTTGAAAAGACGAAAGCCAAATGGTGATAAGTCTAATGAAGTTTTGAAATTTAAAAAATTTATCCCATTGGCTCTGGGGACTACACAGATGCAAAGAGGATTAACATAGTGAAAGCATCAAGGTGGCTCTGAGCTCATATTCCAAGGGCAGAGACCTGCCTGATAGAGCCACTGCTTTATTCTGAACACTTCCAGTGGGCCTACAACATCAAAGAGGCTTCACGATATTTGTTGAATGACTAGAAGAATGAATGGAATCTGAAAGACCTCGGTATTAAGTCATCTCAGATGCTTAGTAGCTCTGTGACCTCCAGGGAGTTACTTAACTTCCTAAAGCCTCAGTTTCCTCATTGACAAGCAGGGATAGTGAGTGATTCTACCTTTCTCAAAATGTAATCGGAAGGATTAAATTAGAAAACAAAGGCAAAGGGTTTAGCACATTCACTGGCATGTGGAAAATAACTGTCAGACATTAGTAATTAGAATTAGAGGTCCCTTAAGTGTAAGAAGTATAAAAAGCATTGGAAGGAAGTGTAAAAATAATAAAACCAGCTTAGTGTCTGCTGCAGCGGGGGCCTGAGTAGTGAGGGAAAAGGTGTGATGCCTTTAGATGTGTGATGCTTTTCTAAATACCTATCAATAAGATAACATTTTAAAACACATTGTGACCGTTTTACCAGTGTATTCTTTGGAATTGGTATTTATGCCTAGATTATACTGAGAGTCATTTAAAGAATAGACAAGAAAAATACAAGTTCCAGAATTATATGGATTGTGATGTGATTAGCTGATGATGTATGAATAGCTGGTGATTTGTAAAATCAGCCAAATAATGAATATTAAATTAATGGTGACTACTAAATTAAGAGCCTCAAGAATAATGTCTAGCACAGGATAGGCACTGAATAAATGTTTGTTGAATGAATGAATGTTTTCTAAATCTATATGGCAGCACATTGTTATACTACTTAATTTATTTCCATGTTTCAGATTTCCAGCAAATTGAATTCTTCAAATATTTCTGGAAAATCCAGTATTTTCTGTGATGCCTGCAGTAAACTATGTTAAAACCCTTGAGACTGTGATAATTAAACACCATATGTTCCTGACCACAGTGTGTTGCCTTGCGTTTCTTTCTCTAAGGAAAGTCCTAGCCTTATGGTATATTTTAGTCTTTGCAGTTGGACTGTGAACTCCACTGTCAGAAAATTACAGGAAATCCAAGGATTTATGAACCATACGTACAGGTGCTTAAATAACATTCAGCAACATTAATAATATAAATGATGGCTCGGAGACTTATTAAGAATGTAAAAAGTTTCTGTTCACGATAGATATGGTGTAAGGTCACACACAGTCTAGCAACTTTAGAAGGACTCGGGTCATTATGAACATACACAGGCCATCTCTTGATAAAAAATAAAATCACAAACACCATTAATCAAACTTCAATTTTCACATTTAAAAATTTGAACACATTTTTAAATATTTCAATTCATTATTAGTGGATGCTAGAACATATAGTTAAGCTTTTTAGCATAAATTTATTTTCTTCAATTATTCTGGTAACATTTAAATGAAAGTATCCCACGGGTGGCAATGCAAATTAAAATCTGCTGTTGGATCTCAGAGGTGATTAACACACGAAACAACAGTAGGTAAAACTTTACCATGCATCGAACATCATGCTGAAATAGGAATTTGGGGTGATGCCTTCACTGTATTAAATATTCTAGATTATGCTCAATGTAAATCAAAGGTTTGCCACTTTGTAGAAAATAAACTAAGGCAGCTAAAAGATTTTACTGAATTTACCTGGTACCACCAGGAAAAGTTTATAGCCTAATATCAACCCAAGGCCAATTCAAGTCTCTCAGCTCTTTATACACAAATTATAATGGCACTAGTTTTTGGGTTCCCCCTCAAATTAGACAAATATGTCAGACAAACAGCTTCAAAGTCAATAGAACTTTCTAGGTGACAGATAATGTTGGCATACCAAGAAAAGACAAAAGACAAAATTATAGAGGGCAGAAAGAAATGAAGAGTAACCAATTGTCCTGCCACACTAGTACTTGGAAAATAATATTAATTACAAAAAGAAAGCAAACTTGGGAAAATTTAGTAAACATTTTAGGAGGGGCGAATCATCGGATACTAGAGCTTAATTTTATTCCTATAAATATTTGCACTGACGGCGTGTCAATTCAGCACACATATTCTATCTTGACTTTAAATATTCACTACAATTAAGTTAAATTGAATAAAAAATATTTCCACCTAGAGTTTAGAACAATGCAGTTTGGAAGCTAATGGCTTTGTGTAAGTTGCACAGAATGACTGATTTAAGGATTTCATTTTGACTTACATAATTTGATCTAATATGTCACAACTCTAGTTCCCAAAAGATTTGATTCTTTAAAAGTGATGTGATTAACTTTACTGGGTCTAAGTCTCCTGAAAGTACTGAGGGGCCAAGATCTTCCTGGTATCATTGGCTGCAATCCTGTTACATTTCTGTATCTGCACTTACCTATTCCATAAAGATAGACATAATAACTAGATATTTACATACATATGTATTATTTCTCAGCCTATATTTAAATTTAAAAAAAATGACATGCCACTTGGAAGCACAGTCAATTTTGTAATAGGCATAGTATTTATTCCTTCTGTTTTCTCAGTCTTTCCCTGATTTGTATGCTTCTTTATTTTTCCTCTTTAACAAACTATCAAATATAATATTGCTCCCTTTAAGATACGCCTAATTCTTGTAAGGAAGTACCAAACTAAAATAGGAGGAATCTGGAAATACTGTTTTATCCCGAGTTCAATGCAATTGCTTCAGCTGAAATATATGCATGAAGACTTTTCCGAAAGAACTTTCACACAAGGATAAAATGATTTCTATGTAAGAAACAATTACCAGCCAACATTATCATCACCAGAAAATTGTAAGCTAGAATGAGCAATAAAAACATTGTATTTGAAATGAGATATTAGAGAATAGCTATTAAAATATTTTACTCAATTTCTATTACACCTTAAAATGAAAGCTATCAAAATGTCATTACAGGCCTTCTCCCCAGATTCTTCAGAGACTGAATTTAATCATTTCAGGAAATTGAGCACTATCCAACATTCACTTAAATCTTTTGACATAACAGCAAAGCAAAACACAATGAGAAATTTATATGACATTTTCTATTAAAAGATGCTCATATATATACATTGATACATACCACATACCGGGGAGTATTTGTCTTCTTTGGATACCTAGAATTAAATATTTCTTGTGACATTAACCACTTAAATAAAGTATTATCTTGAAGAAACCCAAGTTAAGAAGCCACAATTGAGCTTTGCAAAACCCCAGTCTTAATAAAGCGCTAAGTAGCAGTTTTAAAAAAATACCTTCAAAAATCAATTTTTTGGAAATTATTTCCAGCCAAAATTATTACCTGTACAACAGAGCATAGAACTTTTAACTGCAGTTCAAGTAAAGAGAACTAAGCATTAGTTAAATAAGTGTGATGACCCAATAAAGGCATTCTTACGCCTTCTTTCTGAAAACTCCAGGCATTTCAAGGCAGAAGAGACCTTCCACACTACCTAATCCTGGTTCTTATTTACCAGTTCTAGGAATAAAATCTAAATACAATAAAGATCATTTGTATTGATTCCTAAAATGAGCATTTTCTCTAAAATATAAAAAGGCAGAAAGTAAACAAAGTACCTGATTGCATTTTGTCAATAAAAGCGAGGCAATTTTAGCCAATGACTAACAATAAAATTCCCCGAAGGTAGTCTCCTCCTTAAAACTTTAACGTTTAAAAAGAATAGTTTAGATTTTGAATAGTTTTAATTAGAGGGCAGTTTTCCAATGCTACAGACAAAAAGTACATGAAATGGGTTGTAAAACGGCACTTTAAAAAATGTTGAATTTTTACCTTTCAGTTCGAGGAGGATGCCTCTTCTCAGGAAACCCATTTCTTTAATTAGAGGGCAGTTTTCCAATGCTACCGACAAGAAGTACATGAAATGGGTTGTAAACGGCACTTTAAAAAATGTTGAATTTTTACCTTGCAGTTCGAGGAGGATGCCTCTTCTCAGGAAACCCATTTTTCTTGAAGATGCTCTGTGCTGGCCGGTTTAGAATAAAAACCATTAGCATATTACTATTAAAAGAAAAGAACTACACTACAAGAGCCACAATCTCGGAAGGAAGCTGTTGGCGCTTGTAAGCAATCAATGCCTTTCCAGACACCTCCTCTGTCCCCGTCCTCTTATTAGCAGGGTAGGCTCCCTGCAGCATCAATTAAGCAGTTTTTAAGGCAACGGGGGCTCATCTGCTGAGCACGGCTGTCCACTCCACAGCCTCTTAATCACCAGGGCTCTCTTCTATCAGGGTTCTAGAGGCGGACGTCCTGGGACCCGTAATTAGCACACCAGCGGAACATGCCTGGGAGTCACCAAAATTACAACTTTCCCTCCAACAACCAGCATGAGATTGAAGGCACCAGAGCCACACAACACCTGCCTGTCTGTGCCTGAGTCCTTGGCACTTGCGAACCAAAGACCCACCCCAACGCAGAAACTACTCCTGACTTCCCAGCGCCCCAGCGGAATCCAGGCATCCGCAGCCCCAGCTGGAGAGAAAGTGAGGAAAGAAAGGTTATCCTCTCATCCTCGATCCTCCTCCGATCCACCCAGAGCCGCACCAGCTGAATCACAAATGAGATGCTAATGCCCAAGAAAATGAAAGCCAATTTCCTCCACTTTGCTCCAAGTTTCAGAGGCCCCCTCCACAATGAAAGATAGCTGTTGGTGGAGGCTGCCTTGTTCCATACCATTAACTCGGAACAAAACATATTTTTAGTGGGACAGCCGTGTTTACTTGTAAGAACTGATGAATTGTTCGGCACCATTTATCACTCGCAGACAAAGATGTTCAGCCACAATTTTGGACATAAATCAAGGTACATGCTCCTCAAAAAAAAAAAAAAAAAAAAAAAAAAAAAAAGACGAAGAAACAGCTTAAGTCCCCCCAAACCACAGAGATTGAGGTCAGACTGGCCATAGCAACCAAGAACAGGACTTGGTCTCCAGAGGACCTAGCAACGGATAAATGAGTTCAGATCTCTTTTCATCTCCACTGGTGTGAAAGCCAAAATTAAAAAGATTAGATCACCCAGCGCCCATTACAAAAGGTGCCACAATGAAAAAGTCATTTCCAGCCTTTGAATCACATCAAATAAATAACATTCATCCCTGCTATAATGAACAACTTTCAAAGTAAATTGAATCTCCATAGCGCTGCTTTCCCTGGCTGCACAGTATTTACATAACAATATATCACAGGAAGCTCAGAATGGGTCTTGTAAATGGGGAACTCCGGATAAAAAGCATCTTTAGCCCCGATTACTGTATCCTCAGACTGCTTTTCAATCCCCCTGGTTTAAACAATGTGTGGTATCTGGAACATAAACAATGCTTTTTAAATTGTGGGAAATGAAAGTTTTGGGTAAATTTTTAAGTGTCCGGACTCACCCCTTTCGAGGGGCACTAAGAATGTAGACTCACTTAACCTCCTAAATCCGTGCCCCGGGTTCATTTTTGTGACAAAGAATTCTCATCTATGTGCACACTTGTTTCTTTGTTCGTGCCAGCAAAATTTCACCCTAAATATCTCCTGAATTTTTATATGTTACTTACAAGGAAAGCCCTTTTGCAGATTTTTTGAGCATGTGGCTCATTCATTATTGTCATTTCCTCGAAAGTAAAAGGCATTCTCCATTGTCATACAATAATGTCTATTAAGTTTTAGCAATGTCTCTACACAAAGTAATCATTTTCTATAGTCCAATTTTGACAAAATTTCTCCGGGTGATTGAAAATAATTTTTAAGAACTAATATCCTAGTATACTTAGACTTCCATAAACTTGTGTACAATTCACTTATTTCAAATGGAGTACGTTCAAAATAATACAGTTAAATTGAAGTTTAAAATATACCAGCATAATCTTATCTTTTTGTGGCAGCTCACACAGACATTAGTATTTGAACTCCACAGGGAAGCTCATTAATTTTTAAAACTCTCTGACCTCAGTACAGTTGAGTGTAAAAATAATTACAAATTAAGAATGAAAGAGCATCGCTTGAATTCTACATGGCCATATGCTCTACGCTGCACAAAACATTGCTCATTATCGTCAAACAGAATTTCTTCCAGATATGATTTTAAACAGCATGATAAATGTCACCAGATAGACATAAAAAGCAGCTCACCCTTTCGCCCAGTCTGTTCACGCCTCACCTCCAAGGATTCTAGTAACACAAAGCCCCAAGAACACAGGTTTGCAGGCAGTGACAGCAGAGATGATACCCTCACGAAAATGTTTCCCTAGTGAGACTCGCTCTCAGCCACAGGGATGCAAAAACACAAGAATCGAGGTATAAATATTTTCTTACCTGAAACTTGTCAGAAGGAAGGTCCTTGAGTCCTTGTCATTGTTGTCACCTCCGGTGGCCCCTCTTGCCATCGTGGAAATTGGCTCCACTATGTTTATTGCTCTGTGCCTCAGTTACAGCTGTGACACACATCTGCCTGCATAGAACCTATGAAGGGAGACAGGAAAAGAGAGAGAGAGAAGGAGAGGGAGAGAGAGAGAGAGAGAGAGAGAGAGAGAGAGAAATGGAGAAAGAGAAGGAAAGGGATGTGTGTGTGTGTGTGTGTGTCAGAGAGAGAAGAGAGAGAGAGAGAAAGAAAGAGAGAGGGAGAGAGAGAGAGAGAGAGAGAGCAAAAGGGAGAGACTGCTTACTTGAGACTAAGAACCTAAAACCTCCGGCCAAGACAAGCCGGAATAAAAATGATCAAAGCTCTGTCCTTCATCAAGAGAGCAGACAGATATTTTTTTCCTCCTCCACTGAAAAGTGGAACTGTCATTTGGGATTCTCACCAGGAAAGCGCCGACAGAGGCAGACCTTCTCCGGAGTGTCAGTGCTGCCCAGCAGCCCGTGCAGAATACAGGTACCTATTGTTCCAGAGACAGATATGTAGCCAGCCAGTCAGACTCTGACAGATCTCAGCAAACCAGTGAGCCTGCCTTCAGTTTAACTCCTTATTTACTAGTGCTTTTTGGACAACGCAAAGGTCTTCTCATCACCCAAGAGAAATAAATGGAGATGATGCAGATGAGCTCATGGTAGGAACTAATCCTGTATCTTTCACAAAGAGAGACTCTTCAGGACTATTATTGAAAGGCTAAGTTTAATGCAAACATCTTTTTTTTTTTCTGGGAAGAAATGAAGCATTAGATTACACGGGGAAGACTTAGTGAGTAAAAGAAAACCTTGATATCCAAGATGAACAGCACAGCCAATTTTAAAAGGAAGACAGAAATTGGGTTTATTCAAAGCATCCTGGATATAAATATATATACTCCAGAACATAAATGGGGTTACCTAAACCAAAGGGGCCCCATCTTTTGCCTAGGGGAGTGGTACATTGAATACATTCCACACAAAAATAACCCCCCTCATTTTTCTAGGGGCTAAAGTTTTTTTGGTCTCTCTCTCTCTAGACCCCACTGCTTTTGCAAGCACCCCCCAAAGACCCTGCTTCCCCAAAGCCTCACCAGTGTTTAAGTTATGCCTAAGGCAGTAAAACACAATTAAGGAAGTTGGAGAAAACTAACCTGTTCTACATTCTCCTGATGGACCCTGAGATCCAGAGTACATTTGGTTCTTTAAATTCCTGGACCTTTCTAGATTACAGTGGTTTTTCAAATTTCATCTTGGTGTATTAACTGAATAATTTTCTTCTAAAGAGTGAGAGAAGGCACAATGCTTTGCATTTGATCATTTAGCACTATTAAAAAGCTTGGAATAGGAAAACAAAAGAAAAGGGAAAAAGAAGAAAAAGTAGCTTTTCATTGAGTTAAGATAAGACATGGACTTATACTCCCCCTATAAACTTTATATACAAGCATGTTGGCCTTTTTTCTAGACCAAACACCAATTTCATTCATTGTTACCATTTTCCCAGGAAATGTTGTATATTCAGCTATAGCAGGTGTGTTGCAGAGTCTATGATAGGTATGAAATTCCTTTGTAAAACCCACACTGGAGCATCACTTTACAAAGCCAGAGGGCAAATACTCAATGCAATAGTAGGAGGTTTAACCACGCATGACTGTTAATGGTAATGAGATATGCAGTATATATCTATGCACTACCCACCATCTTCTTATGAAAATCTACAGTATATATTATTGTTTTGAAAACCTAAGAAGAGATCCTGACATTTCAAAACTCCATAAAAAAAAAGAAAAAGAACCTAGAAAACACAGTTCCCTCCTTTCACACTGTCTCTTGTCCTAAATCCCAGCATTTTGAAAAAAAGTCACACTAATTTAACTAGAACTTTGTCCAATTAAGGTAAACTTTAGAAATTCTTTTTAAAATTAAAAGTGCTTGACTTGAGGACTTCTGAAAGTCTACCTTGTGTTTTGTACTCAGGAAAACTTCTATTACGCTCTGAAGGGAAAGGATGTCGAAAGACATTACCTGGACAGGGAGAATAGTAGACAAGTTTTCTTCCTAAACGTATCTTAACCTATGAGCCAGCAATGAAACAAGAGAATCTTGCAGCCTATTTTATCTAAGTGATAAGCTGATTTTTTCAAACCCATTTTAAAGAACATACATATCTTTGGAAGCTGTAGGGATAACCTAATTTATCACAATCTTCTTAATAGCAACATAGCAGAAACCCATTCAATTAAAGAGCAAGAAGGTAGAGGACAGATTGTAGGTACACATACAGAACAGAGCTGATCACAGCGGAGGTAACAGTTCCCATGCAAGGCTCCCATGCTGCCTGTAATGCTGCGGTTTAAAAGGGCATCGAAGCTCTCACTCCTGAGCATGTGATAAGACTTAGGTGTAAGTACATTTAATTAGAGCATTATCCAGGCCCCATCCAGATGTCATTATCTTTTATGGTGCTTTTGATTTTTTTTCTTCTTCTTTGATCTTTCTGTCCAACTTCTGTTGTCTTCAGAAAACCAAGCGTGGTGTGCCAAACAGATTTTAAATATTCAGCTCTTAACATGTTTGAATACAGACAGTTTGCACAGTTGGGGGTCTATTATTTTTGGTGGCATGTGCAGAGGGTTATCAACATTAATGAGAGTCACGTGCACATTTCAATAAAAGGCAGGATACACTCCTGCAAAGTGTGTGTGTGTGTGTGTGTGTGTGTGTGTATGTGTGTGTGTGTGTGTACGCACACACAAATGGGTATCAGTATTCGTGCAAGGCACATATTGTTTTGTTATTGTTTCATGAGCAGGGAAAAAGACCTTCCTTTTTTTCCTCAATCAACTTTTTTGGTGAAATCCCTACAAAGATGGTTTTCTCCAAGAACACCCCTAAAGCCTATTATAGAGCCCTAAGTTTATAATTCACACCTCAGTGCCCAATTTGCCAAATAATTCATGCCAAGCATAAGTCCAACATAAAGTGCCAACTGTTTCTTGAAAAACAACAACCCACTGTTTTATGTGCTGGGTTTTTAAGGAATAAACACATGAGGTTAGGGGCACACTCATTAGCAGGTAGGCTAAGTCCCTGGGACTCCAATGGGTTTCATCTCTTCACCCACTTAGCTTGAATTGAGAGACATGAAATCAGGTTTCCCAGAAGCGATGTGGAAAGAAAAAAAATCTTCTTTTTATTACAGAATATTTCAATTTTTATAATTCCCCCCCTCCCCCTAGGATTTTTTACAGACACAGTCAGTTACTCATTCACACAATAAACCTCATGCCTACAGAACTTCTAAGAGACTCTCCGGGAACATTGCAGGTAACCTGACTCCAAGAAAAGTTAAAAATAGTCTCTCTACCGAATTAAACATTATCTAAGTTCTCCACATAGTTATTAAATACAGAGGAGATCACCTCTGTGCATAATCTATAAATGGCTTGGATTACATATTAAAATTCTAATTAAAAGTTTTTGTCTCATCTCGGTGGACCAATTTGAGATGAGAGAGTAGATTCTGGTTGAGAGTGAAAGCTCGTGTGGAAGCGAGATTTCTGCTGGCTGCAAGTTAGAAGCTTATGGCAGAATTACAAGGTGATTCTAATAGAAAGAAAATAATGCAAAACCATGAACTACTTCTGAGACCCCTTTTGGACAAGGGGATTTAGTGCCAAAGAAGAGATTCCCCGGTGATGTATTCCGCAGAACTTTACTTTCTTGGAAGTTGGAGAGAGAGATAAGGGAGATGAAATTTCTGCTGGGTGTGAGAGGAAAGTATTAGCATGTTTACATTCAAAACTGAAATGTTCAAAATCTGATCATGTAACATTACTGATTAGAAAACATGAGAGATATAAATTAAAATATATGAAATGAAATATATAAACTCAAACTTTTCAATGTTTAAGATACAGGATAAGGTATGCTACTAATGAAGACATTACCTCTAAGAACACTGTTCAGAGAAGACAGTGAAAATGTAGTGGAAAATATTAGGGGCTATTTTACACCATTCAAACACCTGCAATATTAAATATGTTAATCATTTGACAATTAATAGAAGGAAAAGCATTTATTTTCTCTATCAATCCCTTCACCAAAGCACAATAATATATATTAGAGTCTCTGATCAACTTGCTCACAGAGTTTAAATTAGGTAAATATGTGGTTTAAGAAAAGCTCAATGAAATATTTTACTCATCAATTAGTAAGCAATCAGCTATTTTGAGGTAATAGTAGAGTATTTTGCCTTTCTTATTCTATAATAGCTGCTGGAAGTCAATTCTGAGAACATACATGCAGAGACTAGAATGCTAACATTTTGAATAGTAATAAAGTTTTTGTATTGTTGCATGGATAAATGAAACTATATGTTTTTCACGTCTCCATAAATGTCCTCTTAAGTGGTCTCAGACTTATAGCACAATAAAGAAAAATTAACATGGAGCTGATGAATGAGAGTTGATACTCAGAGCATGTCATAGACATTGGGAAACTCCCAGAAGGGAATTAGGCAGAAAAGTTGGTAAAGATTTCCCTACATTTATTTTGTACATCACAGAATATTCTAGAACATGAATTATTTCCTTCAAGAATTATAATTTGGAAGTTTTGTTAGTAGACATATATTATCCTGTTTCTCGTTTTGAAATATTTCCTTCAAGAATTACAATTTGGAAGTTTTGTTAGTAGACATATATTATCCTGTTTACCATTTTTTTTTTTTTTTTTTTTTTGTGAATCAGGACCTAACTGTCTTCTCCAATAGCTGTTTCCAGAGTTTTGCAGGCATTAGGATAGTGGTCTGATACCTGCAAAACTTTAGCTTGAAAGTGCTCTTTCCTTTTCCTTCTGCCATGTGCCATCTTCCCCATCCAAATCTTTTGATAAAAGTCAGGATAAAGCATGATTTATTAACATAGCAAAGTCATTATGATCCTAAAGCTAAAATGTTATTGGAGCTTCTCCTAGCTACTGCTGTTTAAGGAAGTCTTTAAAAACCAATTTAATTTCCTTCCACCCAGTCAAGTTTTCTCCACAGATAATTGGTTTTCATTATATGCACAAAAAACATCAGTGAAGTCAGTATGTATGAGGC